CTTCCTGGTGCCCATCAGCTGCTAAGGAGCTTCTTCTTACGTAAGATTTCTCAGTCTGGCTTCATTGGGCATCATGGGTGAAGGTGCACCATCTCTTTCCCAATGCGTAGGTTTGGAGAGATAGATTTGTTCAAACTTCAGCAAATATCGTGGCTGAAAATAACCCAAAATAGCTAGTTTTAATAATCAGAAAGGCAAGTCACAACATGCATGAAACAATTTACAGCTTATTTAATGCCATACAGAGAGATTCCACTACACACATTAGAGAGGAAATCCTTTTCTGTATGTCTATAGACAAACTGCACTCGCAAGTTTCACTGGATGCCTCATTAACAAAGATGTAATATAAACTCAAGAGAATTTAGAGAAAAACATCAAGATGCTTAAGTTCTGGAAAGGCTGAGCCATGTGGAAGAGTCCTATGTACGTATGGACTGCTTATGCCCAAACTTATCAGTTTCCCTACTGAGCTGGCTAAGGCATCACAAGACATGGATGCATCTGGAGCTGATCTGGTAATGGAAGTGGACAGTTATTGATTTTTTTTTAAAACCTAATTATAGCTGCTTCAAGAGCTGTATTTCAGATCATAAGATGTTCAAGGTTTCCCATTGTGATTGTGTTTCATGACTGACTTTTGTTTCTAAATCTGTTACATGTTCAACAGTAGAATTCAAAATTATTCTCTTTTAATATACTTATTGTTTGAAGTGATTGACTATAGCCTAACATTAGCAACATATCACTGAAAAGGCACTTCCATTCTAATCCCCACTATGGATAACGTACGTCTTTCAGTAAGTTGCAACTTATGAAGAAACATTTCATACTTAGCTCAGAGAATTTTGCTTTAGCTTCATATTATTTTTCATTTGTACTACCACAGCATCTAGTAACCCTGGTCATGGACCAGGATCCCATTGTACTAGACGTTGTATAAACAGAACTAACAGACAGTCCTTCCACCCAATGAACTTACAATCTAACTAAAAATCTATTTAGTTACTTCTCTGTGGGAGAATAAGTATCTTTTGGTTATTAAAACTTTTATCAAGACCATCATTTTGCTCCAGCCAGCTTTATGAACTGTGTCCAGAAGTGCAACATTCAATGTTTTGAAATTAAGTTCCAGAAGTTTGAAAGACTTTCTGTTCATGCGTAGCCCATCAAGCTTCTGGAGTTAAGGAATGAAATTTGGTAATGTGCCAAATGAGAACAATGGGAGCTGAGCCCTTTTGAATATCTGACCCCACTTATGAGTGCTGAACATTTTTGTGTTTCTCACCCTGGATAAAGTGTGTTACAGACAAACTATTTTTGCCATTGCTTTATTTAGTGATCCATTCATTCCCTAATGTCCTTGCTGGTAGCATATGCATTCCTTTTTAGCTATATCACGCACTAATTGGATCTGCTGCGGCAGCCTTCAGTTGTTCAACTGTGATGAGAGTCCCCAGCACAATTTTCACATCAGTACAATTAAAAAAATGAAACTCATACCGGCTCTTCAACTTCCCCTGTAGCATGCTGAGCTTCAGCTTGTAAATCAATAGGTGGTGCATCTTCTACAATTCTCTGCACAGACATCTGAATGAACTCATCAAAAGAATCCAGCTGTTGTCGGACCAAGCCCTTCTCATCAAAATAGGAGCTTAGAAAAAAATCAGGAACATTAATTAACAAAAATTCTCAGTTTACATATTCATAAACTATGTTATCAAGAGGTTTTAAAATTCAAGATAAACATACTATAATTAATCAAAACACATTATTGCTATATGTAATTGTTCTTGTTTTTGTCTCACAGCACACTGTTGAAATACAATTGTTCCAAAGAAACTTTAAAAACAGCCAAATATTTATGTCCCGATCTCTCAACTTTGTTCCCTGATGACCCACATACAAGACATTGTGTGTTCGGGACTTTTACTTGCCAAGTCACTATTTTGCATTTCTTAGCAGTAATCTCATAGTGTAGCTCTACACTCACAAGCAGTAACGGAAAATATTGTGTTAGTGCTGAATTTACAAGAAAAACCTTTCAGATTGTCTAGGAGGGCTCTGACTTTTCAAAACCATTCATCTTTGGCTAATTATACATAGGACCAGTGGTCTAAAATCTCATACTCTCTCTTTGTAACAGTTCTTTCATTCTTAAAGAGAAAACATTTATGATTTTGGATATGAAATCTTGGAACTTTCATCACATTAAATATTAGATCCTTTTTTAAGCTAAGGGTACACTTTCCTGTTTACTTCACTACTATCAAACTTTCTAAAAATATTAATGTTACCTAATAACTATCCAGCATGCTTCTTGCCATAGATCTGGAGTGATTTCATCATCATCTTCATCATATTGCATATCTGCCAAGAAAGTAGGACACTCAGGTCAGTCTTTCTATTCATTCAAGTTTTTTTGGCTGAATATAGCTTCTAACTACCCAACAGCTGTACATAAATACCTTGCTTTTCTACAATCTAATGAGCTTAATAAAACCTGTAAGAGGATTAACAATAGGCTCTGTTCATAGCTTTCCTGTAATAGTTAGACTGTAAGATCTTTAGGGCAGGGACCATGTTTTTTTCTGTATTTGCTCAGCTCTTAGCACTGTGGAATGTTGGTCAATGTTTCCTGTAAGGCTTAAGTGTAAGCTGTGCACTTGTGCAGTTGGTTTTAGAAATTCAAATGTGGCCCAGATGCTTAGCAGAGGATCCACAGTTAGGTGCACTTTGGCACACGCCTCAGGGCACATAAAAAGTTTATTCCACATATGGATGGAAAAATCAGCACATGCATGGAAAAGATTAGGGGGAACATTTGTGTTCATTGATATCTGGGGCTTCAGAGGTAGCAGTGTGGGGTAGCAGGGGGCTCCATAGGAATGGGGCCAGGAGTAGGGGGGAGCACACTGGCTGCCAGCCCTGCCCCCAGGGACTATGGAATAGTCGTGTAGTGGCTGAAATTAGAACAGTCACATGCCTGTCCAATTACCCGTGCAGTCTCCTTGGGAAGAAGGAGGGAACGGTGGCTCTTCCAGGCATGGACGAAGAGAGCTAGTAAGCTCCATTTTGGAGGGAGGAGCCAGGCTGTGCTGGTGTAGAGCCTTTTCCAGACCAGGAGCTGTTGTGTTGTAGCTACAGCCTGTTACTGAGAGCATGCTGGGGCCTGGATCTAACAGGCTGCTTTTAGGGTTGCTGGGGATTGTCCCTGGAGGGGAGAGATCCTGGCTGGGGCTAGGGATGTTAAGGACTAGTCGACTATCCAATAAGCATTTGCTTACCAGATAATCAGTAGACTAGTCGATTTCCACTCCCCCTTGCTGTCTCTATGAGAGGCAGCAAAAGGAAGGAGGATGGGGTAGTTCAAAGCGGCAGCGCTGCACAGTTGAGCCGGGGATCAGCTGTGTGCTGCTGATGCTTTGAAACGCCAAAGCTCCCCGCAGCATTTCAGTGGAGCCCGGGGTCAGCTGGGAACTCCCCAACTGACCCTGGGTTCTGGGGAAATGCCATGAAGAGCCCAGGATCAGCTGGGGAATCTGGGTTCTAGGGCTGCCCCTTTGAAACGCCACCGCCGCGTGTTTCAAAGAGGCAGCCTTGGAGCCCGGGGTCAGCGGGGACTCCCCGGCTAACCCCTGTTGTACATCTCAAAGGAGGAATGCAGAAGTGCCTATTGACTAGCGATGGACATTCCACCCACTACCTGACTCGTCCGTTGCCCCCATTCTAACACCCCTGGCTGTGGCTGCGAAGGGCCTGTAAACCCGCACAGGAGGCCGCTGCTGCCTGGGGCAGAGCACTAAAGCGCGCGGGCTGGGGTCCGAGGCGTTGGGCGGGGCCTGCTCCGGGGGCAGAGGGACTGAAAAGCACAGGCCCTGCCGGGGCACGTGATGCAAGTGCCGGGCGGATCCATCCCTTCGGCGCCAGGC